TTGTCATTTTTTTAGGAGATTTTTTTCTATCTATACCATATATGAAATTTTATTATCAAAAATGTTCACAATTTGTTAAATACCCGCCCAGTCCACACTTTTGCTACAATTTATATGCCAATCCATAATTAGGAAGATTCTGCCATTTAAAACGCGCTAAAAAGAAGGCACGAAATCTGCGTTTGATTCTTTCCACATTAAATTCGAATTTTGAAACGGAAAGAGATCTCATTGCTGCGTAATTCTCTCATTTACTACAATTCTAAAACAACGCACGCTTCATAAGCTCCAGTAGTCAAATTGCTTTTACAAATTCTACAATGCAATACAAATTGTAGAATTCAAAATTGTTTTCATCGACCTTAGTACTCAAATTGTCGAACCTATATCTGTTCTTCATCTTTTTTCTCTCAACTACACGAAATCATGTCAAAAATCCCAATAATGCTAAAATTGAATGGAAATTGGGATCACTATGACAGATTTAGAGATTTTGAAGTTGATGTCATTGTGGTAGATGAGAATGCAAGCTACAGAATTCTGATTTCTACAATTGCAGAACAACTATCGATTGATACATCGTAAGAGATTTCAATATGGAATTGGCAATCACCAACGATAGCACAAGTGCAAGTATGTTTAATTCGATATTGCAGAGAGTTATTGTGTTAGTGTGTTATCTACAATATTACAACATTTATCTACAAATTAACTATATTAAACAATGTACTGAAGCTCATAAAGCAATGTTGTTTTCAAAATTATCTACATAGTTACTATATTTATCTCTATGTTGCTGCAGGTTCGTCTGGACCCCTAAACTTACTTGAATTTACATCCTCACCAGCTATAGAGGAATATCAAAGTGAAATAATAACTGAATCTACGCAAACATGTATTGAAGAAGGACAAGTTTATCAGGACAAGCAAACTGTAGCTGCTGCAATAGAGATTTTTTCTGTGATGCACAAGTTCCAGTTCAGAGTAAAAAGATCTAGTCATAGAAGGTATGGATTTATTTGTGGAGAATATATCAGTAAAAGCAGTGTTTTAGTGAAGATATGTGGTTTTTATAAATTGTAGTTTAATTGTAGTTGAACTGTAGTTAATTGTAGTTTTTAACGAATTTGTGTTAAAACAGTATTTTTTGTTGTTTCTACATCTATAGCCTGTATTAAATATTGTATTTTTTTGTAGCTACTAGCTTATATGCGTCGCTGAAAACTGTAAATGGCACTTCAAGCCAACGTCAATTAATGATTCGGCAATGTTCAAGATAAGGAGTTTCAGCCGACAACACACATGCTCCTTATTGGACGAAACATTCATACAACGCAAACGTACTGCAGCTGTAGTTGGTAGCATGGTCGTTCCAAAGTATTGTGATCCTAAGACTGTTTACACACCAAAGGACATACAAACTAACATGTTATCCGAACATGGACTGAACCTAAGCTACATGCAAGCATGGAGACCAAGGAAAAGGCTTTACAGTTTTTGAGAGGGAATCCGTCTGACTCCTACAACAAATTACCCAAATATTTTTATATTCTTGAGGAGACTTATTCAGGTTCTGTTGTTAAATTGGAGAAGGCAGCAGATGATTGCTTCTTATACGCATTTGTTGCTCTTTATACATCAATAAGTGGTTGGCAACATTGTAGGCCAGTAGTAGTGGTTGATGGAACATTCTTAAAGTCAGCCTACAGGGGGATTATGCTTACAGCAAGCACCATGGATGCAGCAGGTAAATAATATAATAATTTTGTAGTTATTTTGTAGGCAGTCTATAAAAGACACATGTTCTTTATCAGAAGGACAAACAAAAAATTCCAACAGATAAAGAATGCACAACCTCACTGCATCCTCATCGTTTGCCCAAGCTTTATTTGTGACTACATTTTTCAAATGCCACTTTTCAACCCTTTGTTTGTTCGAAAAATAGGTAGTCATTAAATGGCTAACATAAGTGGAAGTGTAACCATAGTCTGAAAACTTATTCACACAATTTAGACCAGTAATCAACCCAAATTCTCTCAAGGAAAAATTCAATTTTTCACCCTTCAATAGTACTGAAAAATATGAGTCAGTAGACTTTGACAATTCATACTTCATCAGAAGATGAATTGCTTGGTTTTGCATACTGATTGTGGGGAGACCANTCTAAGCACACCATAATCAACATTTTGTTGTGCAAAGTAATGACCATTCTGCAGAAAATAAAAAATTATTGAACATTAGTAGTTAGCATAAAAAAGAAGTTGTAATCTACATATAACTACACGATAACTACAAAATATAACTAAAAGAAGAACAGCCTACCCACACCTATAACTACAAAATAATACAGGACATCTACACATGTAAACATTATCTCAAAACAATAAGGAAGAAAAGGGTAACCACAGCTCTATAACTACAAAAATATAACAGTTAGTTCAAGTAACTCACAAAATATAGATTAATTGTAGTTAGTATGAAGGTAAATGTAGCAGCATACAAAAGTGAAAAATATACCTTATCTACAATTTATCCAGCATACTACAAAACAACTACAAAATGACTACATTTATGCACTGTCTAAAAATCACTATTACAATTAACCTACAAAATTGAGACAAACAATCTACAAAATTTGGACAATTCCACATTTTACCAAAAAATACTTGAACAACAGATTTTTACAACAAAAATTACACTAAAAAATTGTAAAGAAAAACAATTAGTGTTTACCTTTACCAAAATCTTTTTGTGAACCAATTTTGGTACTTTTTTGGAGGGTTTCTTCTTTTTCGGTTTTGATGAAGAAGGAGAGACCTTGGGCTTTTTCACAGATGGAATTTTAGGGGAATGTTCAACAAAATCATCATCTACACACAACTCTTTGCCCTTTCGTTTGAGTTGTTTCTCGACTGGTTTTTCACCTCCACCAGCATCAACATCGTCCAAATGCATGTCTCGATTTTGCATTTTTGGGTGGTGATTTTGGTGTTAAAACACCCAAATCAAAGGATGAGATATCAGCTAATGTAGCTTTTGAAGCTTTTTTTTTGGAGTGCTGATTTTTTTCATGATTTGGGACTTGAAAAAACAGATACAACTATGACATGTGATTTTGTGAAATTAACTGGAAAAGAAAATCGTGGGTAACTGATGTTAAAGGTGGGTGAGGTACGAATATGGTGGAATTAACTGAAGGTAAAACGTGGGGGGTGTGGGGGGATGGGAGGAGAGAGAGGCGGGTAAACGAAAATGGGAGAATATACGCTCCTAAATTAACGCCTAATATAAATGAAGCATTAATTATACCCTTAATTTGAATTGTGGTATATAAATGGTAATTTGGTATGCTGGAATATAATTAATACAATCCTTAAACATTGAGGGTAATAAGGTTTCATATATGGTATATGAAGGTAAAAATTCCTTTTTTTAGCAAGAGTCGTTCTTGGTATGTTTTTATACAATTGAGTAGAGGTGTTCAAACCAAACCGAAAACCACACCAAATTGAAAAACCAAATCAAACCGATTTAAAAACTCGACTATGTTTGGTTTGACTTGGTTTGATATTGAGTAAAAAAATCCGAACCAAACCGACACATAAATATATAAATTTTATTTATATTTTTAAGACTTTATAGTGAATTTTCTTTAGAAAATGTAGAAATATTTGGGATCCTCTAATGTATTAACCTTGAAAACGTAAATTAACGAAAAACTATTGTTAGACGACTAAGAAAATAACTATCATGTGTTACTAGAAAAATTCTCCCATTAGAATATTTTAATAGATCATTCGTTTGTCAATTTTTTTTCCATATTTATTAAACATATATTCACTTATCAAAGCTTTATCTATAATTTTAACAAAGTAAGATTGAAATAATATTCATGTAACAAAAAAAACCCGAAAACCCCGACAAAATCGAACCAATCCACACCGATATAGTTGGTTTGGTTTGGTTTTGATAAAATTCGAACCAACTCGGTCCATGTACACCCCTATAATTGAGCATTTAAATTTGTCTATTTGTTTAACTATAGCCAGAAGTATTAACGGAATGACGATAGGAATAGGCGCATCATGACATCGTAAGATGTCTCGCCCGAATAAATTAGTTGGTACTAAAAATGTTAGAAAAAGTGTGCGAGAGGAGGTTCGTCCAATAAGCCGTTTGGGCTAGAGAATTTTGGAAATTTCTAGATGACTTTTGTTTCGTTAAAGTCTTTTCCAAATGTTTCTTTAATTATTTTCTTTTGGCGTAAAACCTTTTCTCAAAAGTTATTGCCTTTTTCCAAAACTTTATGCTACTCTTTAGAGTTTAAAATAAGTAATTTTTTAGTTGTTTTTATACAGATTAAGAAATTCATCTTCTAACATTAATTAACAATGAAATTAATCATATTAACCTTTACTATCTCTTTACATAAATACTCCTAATATACACTCCAGTAGTATTTACTCCAAAGGCAATGTAAGAAAAAAATAATTAATTCATTTTTGAAATATGAAAAAATTACTTATTTTGGACCACAAAAAAAATAAAAAAAATCACTTATTTTGGACCGGACCGGAGGGAGTAGCTACAAAATAATTCCTCCATAACTTAGGACATAACTATCCTTTGTCATTGCTCTCAAGTCTCAACCTCTTACAAGAAAATATGTCTCTGATTTCTGCTCCTATTACACCTTTAATCTGTGTATCTACTACTACTAGTAGTATTCTGATACACCAATAATCCCATAGCTAATCCCTCTTCCCATCTGAGATTATTAACAAACAATCATGTATAAAACCAGAAATTTGATTAAATTAAGCCACTCATTTATAGTTTGGAGTTCACATTATTTGCTGAGTAATGTTAATGGCCGCATTTTGAGGAGTCCATTCCTTTCAAGACCATATTCACAAACAAAAACACCTATTCAAATACAATCAAAACCCCACTTAGAATCTACAGCAAGACAGTCCATTTTTAGCTCCAATAAAATGATTATGACTTTAGGCCGTCAAGGCAAAGTTAAAGAAGCTCGGCAATTGTTTGACGAAATGCCTCAAAGAGATGTTGTTTCTTATGCTTCAATGATTACTGTTTATTTAAAACATAAGGATCTTCCTAATGCTGAGACGTTGTTTTATTCAATGTCTGAGAGAAATGTAGTGTCTGATTCTGCTATGGTTCATGCTTATGCTAAAGTTGGAAGATTCGATGAGGCTCGGAGAATCTTCGAACGAATGCCGGATAGAAATGTTTATGCGTGGACCAGTTTGATTTCCGGGTATTTTCAGAACCGTAGAGTGGATGAAGCTCGAAAACTGCTTCAAGAAATGCCAGAGAAAAATGTGGTTACTTGGACTGCAGCAATGGTGGGCTATGCTCAAAATGGTTTGATTAATGAGGCACAACGTATTTTTGATCAGATTCCTGAGAAAAATGTTATTGTTTGGACGGCGATGATCAGGGCTTATGTTAAAGATAGTCAGGTGGATCAAGCTCTTGAGCTCTTCTATAAGATGCCTGAACGTAATTTATATTCTTGGAATGTTATGATTCAAGGTTGTTTAAATGACAAGAGAGTGGACAAAGCTTTGGAACTATTTAATCCGATGCCATGGAAAAATGCAGTTTCCTGGACAACTGTCGTTACTGGTCTTGCACGAAATGGGTTGTTAGAAATGGCAAGAGAGTACTTTGATCAAATGCCAAACAGGGATCCTGCTGCGTGGAATGCTATGATAACAGCCTACGTTGATGAAGGCCTAGCGGCTAAGGCCGATGAACTTTTTGATTCGATGCCTAATAAAGATACTGTAAGTTGGAATGTAATGATTGGCGGGTATGCAAAAAGTGGCCTTGAGGGTGAAGCCTTGAAGTGTTTCATTAGCATGCTCCGATCAGGCTTAAGGCCGAATCAGACTACTCTCACCAGTGTAGTGACCTCATGTGGAGGGATCCTGGAGTTATTGCAAGCTCATGTTCTTGTTTTACTGCTAGGATTTGACCAAGACACTTCGCTTAATAATGCTCTCGTCACCATGTACTCTAGATGTGGAGATATAAACTCCTCATTTATCACTTTTGAGAATCTCATAGTAAAGGATGTTGTTTCATGGACTGCAATAATACTGGCATATGCTAATCATGGTCTTGGAAACCAAGCACTACAAGCCTTCGCGCAAATGCTAAGGTTCGGTAACAAGCCAGACAAGATCACTTTTGTGGGACTTTTGTCAGCTTGTAGTCATGCCGGTCTTGTTAAGAAAGGTCAAAAGTTTTTCGAGTCTATGAGGTATGCCTATGGTTTAAAACCGAGGGCTGAACATTATTGTTGCCTTGTCGATATTTTAGGTCGTGGTAAGTTAGTTGATGAGGCTATGCGGGTGGTGCAACAGATGCCTCCGGAGGAATGTCGCTGATGCTTAAAAGTATAGGACTTTTCTCTGAATAATAACACTTCCATATTTCGGATNAATGTGATGGTGCGGTTTTAGGGGCTTTACTTGGCGCTTGCAAGTTGCACGGAGATGTTGGAGTAGCGAATCAGATCTGCGATGAAATAGTAGAGCGTGAACCAGGTAACTCAGGAGCTTATGTATTAATGGCAAATGCTTATGCTGCTTCTGGGAGATGGGGTGATTTTGCGCAAGTAAGGAAGAAAATGAAGGAGAGGAATGTGAAAAAAGTACCTGGTATGAGTGAAATAGAAGTCAATGGAAAAAATCACATATTTTTTGTGGGAGACAAGTCTCACCCTGAGAAGGAGGAGATTTACATGCTGCTTAAAGAAAACTTATTGCCTCTAATGCAAGAGATGATATAGAGAAATCAAAGAGATGCATTGGAAACTTGGGATTGAAGAATATGATTTGAACCACTTGTTCATGTAAGTTCTGAAGAAAGGTGACCGGGTCGGTTATATTAACGTAACAAGTCATGTACTGTGGGATTAATCAACCACCAAATCATGAAGAAAAAATGTGAGAAGATGCGCTACCAGCCTTATTTCATGGTCCAAGAATCAATGTAGAAGTGTCATGTACAGGATAATTTGAGAAATTAAATGTCAAGGACATGATGCTGAAAACTCGAATTGAAATATAGAAAAAGATATAGTATGAATCTTTCTTATTATTGTCACCATACATGCTACAATTCAAGTAGCTCATCTAGCTGTTATAGTCCCTTTCTAGGTTAGGCATCAACTTTAGAATATATCATACTTTTTTGTTAGCTATTTCCATTCTCTCTCAGTTCTTTTCTAGTTAGAAAGCTGAAACTTGTTAAGAGTATTTCCAGAAATCCTATCCACCATGTACTCTTTGTCCTCAACAGCACTTCGTATGCCTCAATTTCATATGAAAATTGGGTTATCATGCACCTATGACAGGATATGATGTTAGAATGATATCTGAATCCACCTTTACAACTCCAGTGCAGAAAGTTGAATTTGCTTGATGGTCTGTGACTCGGTGCGATATCTCTTCAACAACAACAATAGCAAACGCAGTGGAATCCCACAGGTGGGGTTTGGGGAGGGTAATGTGTACGTAGACTTTATCTCTACCTTATGAAGGTGGAGAGGCTATGTGCGATATCTCTGCATATGCCAGTATTCTGATGTAAAGAAAAGGCTATCCCAGTTTTAAATAAACTTATTTTAAGGAACATGTCGCTGATGCTTAAAAGTATAGGTCTTTTCTCTGAGTAATAACACTTCCATATTTCGGATCGAACTATACTTCTTTTTTGATGTGATTTCTTCACACCCTATATCTTCCACTTGTTATGAATTCTTCTTGCAAATTAAAGCTATTCATAATGCTTTTTGGCTCGATTATTCTATCATTAGCTGGCCTATTTATTCGAGTTATGGATTCCTCCCAATTGACTCTGCGCTGGGTTTTGTAAGGTGTACAATGCATCTTTCCCGCAGGATCCGGGGAAGGGCCGTATTTCATGTGATGTAGGTAGCCTATCCTGATGCAAGCATCAACAATTGATTCCTTTGCTCGAACGCGCGATCTATAGGTCACACGGAGACAACTTTACCGTTGCTCCAAGGCTCCCCTTTCATGTTATTCTTTCAATATATATGCACATATAAACATTTCTTTTTGGATACTTGTATTGTTGGACCTTTACTTGTGTATTATCTTTGGCATAACTCTGTTTGTTTAAGTTTTCCAGCCTTTAATATTGAAAAAAAACACGAGGTTCAATATTGGCCAAATGGTAGAACAGATCTTCAAATCATAATCCTGTGTTTTTTGGGGCTGGTATTTCATCTTTGTCCATTAATTATGTGAAATTTATAAACTTAGCCTAAGGTCAGAAAAGTGTTAATAGTACTCTAGTTTTTTTCCTGTTGTGTCTTCAGGCACGAAAATGGGCATATGAAACATAAAATTCTCCAATCTGCAGGAAAGTCCCACATCGAGATCTAACAAAAGCCAGAAAGGAGAGAACTGGTATAAAGGCGGCAGGCCGAGCTCAAGTTAAAGCATACCTTTCTCGGCCTTTTGGCTAAGATCAAGTGTAGTATCTGTTCTTATCAGTTTAAAATTAAGGTAGCTTGCTATCTGGGCTCTCAAGTGTTGCCCATGCGTTGCACTATTGCAAGGGCCTGGCGCACCCCACCAAATTTAGACCAGATTTTTATATGATCTTTTGACTTATTAAGTTTTTATTTTGTTTATTATTTTGTAGTTGAATTAGTATTGTTGAATATAAAATTGGAACGTTTTGAAACGGATATCATAATTCCCTCGTCCTTTGAGAAGATTTCATGTTTTACAGTTTATTGTTTTAATTGGTTTTTCCTACAAATCGTGGTACTCTTATTTTATATAATCACAAGTTACTTTGACAATGGACTTGGAGATTTTAAATGTCAACAGCTTTATCGTGCTTTATTGTTTTGGGAGCAATACTTTATTATTTTAACCGAGACATGTGGTCGGATAGGTGAGATCTCTCTACTCGTAACTAGAGGTCTCGATTCAAGCATTGAGAATGAAAAAAAATCCTACTAGAGAATAATTTCGTCTTAAATAAGCCCTATACAATATAATTATAGATTAATCGAGCTAATAAATTTCGACGCCAAAGGTTAAACAAAAAAAGATCTTATTTTAATGCAAGTCCTACCAAATTATTGTCGAATTGGGTTTCCTTTTGCAGTTGCTTTCCGCAATAATAATCTAAAATCTTTAGACAATGATTAGTGATTTTTTTATTTTTCAGCTTTTTGTACACTTGTGGTTTTCATTCTCTAACAACAATGGGTGTGATATAGACAACTTACCCTAATACAAGCACTAGTGACGGCTTCCAAAATAATAATACTGTAACAGATTAGATAGAGGCATCGAAGCCAATGTATATTCTCTACGGCCCTAAATTAATTCAGACATCTAAGTTTTCTAGTATTTATTACGGGAAAAAACTGATGAGGTTCAATTTCGGCCAAATAGTAGAATAGTAAAAGCTTACTAGCACCCGGTAGCGTTCTTACCGTGCCATTTATCACGTGTCACTGTTAGATGATACATATTCTAATTTTAATTTTTAACTGCTACGATTAAATTACTTAGTTTGATGTGGATAAATATTTGCCATGATAGAACAAACTTTCATATCACAACTCTTGTTTTTTTCTGAAATTTCATCCTTGTCCATTAATTCAACGTGAAAGTTATAAAGTTTGCATATAAAGCGAGAAGAGTTTGTACTGTCTTTTCTTCTTCATTCTTCAGGCAAGAAAAAAGGCGCATATATGTACCACATCGAAAGCTAACAAATCCGGACAGCCAAATACATAGACATGCCATTAAACTTTGCCCAATTTTTTATTTTGGCACTTTAATTCAGTCTTGTTCCATTTTGGCCCTCCAACTCCATTTCTTTTGTTTCACTTTAACACAAAAGCTGACTAGCTTCCATGTTTGATTTGCCTCACCCTAGTAGGCGCCTGAGAGTCATTTTAAAGCCAAATTTCATACTCCTGACAGAGGCGGATCCTATGGATTCAATGTTAATGTTTTTAATATCGAACCCATTGTATTTTTAAAGTTATGAGTTCATATCTATTATTTTTAAAATTTTAAAAAAAAATTACATACAAATTTTACTCCGCGTCGAAAGTTATGGGTTCAGTTGAACCCGTAGTTATTACTGAAAATATATATANGTGTTAAAGTGGAATAAAAGAAATGGGGTTGGAGGGCCAAAATGGAACAAGACTAAGTTAAAGTGCCAAAATAAAAAATTGGGCCAAGTTTAATGGTCTGTCTATGTATTTGGCAAATCCAAAAAGGCGAGGACTGATATAAAAGCGTCAAGCCATGCATAAGTAAAAAGCATACCTTTCTCGGCCTTTTGGCTAAGATCAAGTGTAGTATCTGTTCTTATCAGTTTAATATTTGATATGTGAGTCATTGACTCAAACGATATTAACTCTATTTCTTAAGGGGAAGAGTCCACTAAGGTAGCTTGCTAACTGGGCTCTCAAGCGTCGTTTATGCATTGCACTACTGCAAAGGCCTGGCGCACCCCACCAAATCTAGTTCAAATTTCTGCATTGGCCTTGGTTTATTTTGCTTAACAGTTTCAAAAAAAAAAAAAAAACTACTCCAATGTTTAGGATAAAATTCAATAGTTACGAAATCTAAAATATGAAACACAAACAAAGATGCAAAAGAAAAATTGTATGCATTATAATACGATAATTTGATTTGATGTTTTATAATTTTTGGTTTAAAAATGACTTTTCTTACAAATTTTGATACTCTTATTTTGTCGAAAAATGACCATTAGAATGTGTATAATTGTAATAATTACAAGTTCTTTGTTTTTTATTATAATTTTGAAAATGGAGGTAGAATAAATTAAATTTTAAATGTGAACTTATTTTGTACAAATATGACCATTAGAATGTGTATAATTGCTATGATTACAAGTTATTTTGGTTTTTTATAATTTCGACAATGGGCTTAGAATAAATTCTAATTTTTAGGGGTATTATCACTTTTAGCCCTTGTTAGAAACTATTTACATTTGTGTTTACCTTTGAAATTGGATAACAATAGAATTTATACGCGATTTTAAGGAGACATGATATAATTTGATACAAATTGAGAAGACAAATTAATATTGAAATTGACGATAATAAAGTAAATACAAATCACAAAATTGAACTGACATAGTCTTAGAGTTTGATCACACTCGAGCCAAGAAATGTCTCAACTAGTACTAGAACTGAACAACGATGATAAGAATTAGAATTGATCAGTATATTGCTTCTTTTTGCATGTTACAATATGTTCTACAAATGGTCAGAACCCTCCTTTGTATAGTATGAGTGTTTTACTTTTGATACAATTCTATATAAGGTAAAAAATTCAATGATTTGCTAATCAATCGGCCTCTTCTTAATACATGACGAGATTTCTGCCGTGATCCTCGACCGATTGCGGATATTTTGGCTTTCTGTTATTTGGCTCGGTAAGTTTCCCTCGATCTTGCTCGGTCTCAATCTTACCCGATTTCGATCTTGATCGGTCTCTGGGTCACGAGCTTGACGATCTAATTTTGCACCATGATTCGATATAACCAGAATGCGAACTTTGACGTACCATACTTTAGCCTCGATTGGTCAAACAATGGACGAACCCGATTTCGACCGTATATAATTCGGTAGTCAAAAAAGTGTATAAAATTTGTATAATTTTTGTATATAACATTCAGAATGTGTATATATATATATACAAAAAATATATTTTTTTTGGCTATTATTTTAAGAACGACTATAAAATATTATTTTCTCTAATTTTTAAGTCAATATCATTATCGCACTATCCTGCTCTATTTTTGTTTTGGTCCAAATGGTCCTACGAAGCATTCCATTGAATCTTTTATTAATTGGTTTAAAATTTATCTTCTCGAAATTTCATTAATCTTCGTATCCTATTATCTGTCTATTAAAGTTTTTATACACTTACTAAGAAATTAATATATTTGATAGCCTTAATATTTGTCTAAACTACCTTTTATCTCCTTTAAACGCACTGCCTAATTAGCATTCCATTCTTGAGCCAAGAGTCTTTCGGAAACAGTCTCTATTCTTCGGGGTAAAGGGTAAGGTCTACATACACTCTTACCCTCCTCAAACCCTACTTGTGAGAACTTGTTGGGTTGTTATTGTTGTTGTTTGCCTAATTAACATTCCACTAATTAGAGCAATAAAGGTAAATGTAGATATGAGAAAAGCTAATAAATAATATTTCATTTTCTAAATGTCAAATATTTTACAACAAATTCACTTCGCCAACCCAACTAATTATTTAGGACAGGTGGTACACAAAAATAAGACTGTATCCACTCCTCTCAAAATATTAAGGGCTTTTTTTCACTTTTAGCTCATGCCAAAAACTATTTATATTTGGTAGCCGAAAAAGTGTATAAAATATGAATAATTTTTGTATATAACATACATAATATATATATATAATAAGGTCTTAACTAAACTTATACATTGAGAATTAGCAAACTTTTGTGAGATTAACAATGCTACAACTATCAATAATTTACTTTTGAGAAGTAGATTTATCAAAATATTTTAAGTTACTTGATTCTAAATTAATAATTTGTACGTATTAAATGAATTTCTTAAAACAAGATTTGGATCGAAATGACTGAATTCGGCCTAACCCATACCACTAGTGCTAGCTCCGCCACTGCCTCCTCAACACCCCGAAGAAATATGATATTAAGGTTGTCAAATTTTACCTATTGACCCGCCCAAGGTTGAGCTGGTTATTGATCCGCCCATTTTTGTACTCATTCCATCTTTGACCCAACGCATCTCAACCAATTTAAAGAGGAGGAATTCAAAAATAGCCAGATTTACAAGTGGTCACTCAAAAATAGTCACAGTTTCAAAAGTAATCGAAATTTAGCCATTTTTCATGTAAAGATAAATCTGAACGAAAACATTGTTCAAAATCCGGGAAATACTCCAGTATAATATATTGGAATCCAGTATAATATACTGGAGTTCCAATGTAATATACCGGTCCAGCATAATATGTTGGAAGTTCATACACATGTGCTCCAATCTCCAGTATATTATGTTGGAACTTTTCGCGCGTTGGAGTTCCAACATAATATACTGGAAGTTCATACACAGGTACACCGATCTCCAGTATATTATGCTGGAACTCCAACACGCGGAAAGTTCCAACATAATATACTGGAGATTGGAGCACATGTGTATGAACTTTCAGAATAATATGCTGGAACATTCCGTGTTGCAGCAAAATAATGGCTATTTTTTAATGACTTTGCAAACGCTGGTTATTTTTCAATAACCCATCCGAAAACTGGCTAGCCCGTGCTATTTTTACAATTTAAAGTTGGAATTTTTACCTCCTATAGCAAATGTTAAAATACTTTATTTATTTTAAATAAATACCATTTTAAAAAATTATATTCTATAGATACCTTTTACTGTTTATAGCAAAATATCTAATTTTGGTTACCTCCTACCCCTAAGCCACTAAATACGTTATTCAGTTACACTATTTTCTTTCTCTCTCTACTTTGATACATGCCATTCTCTTCCCTCATTCCCTGAAAACACGATGCTCAATCTCAAAATTCCTCTCACCCACATCACCTACCATTAGTATATTTCAATGTATTTTCATGTATTTGTATATATATATGTATATGGGTATGACGTGGCTCAGTCCCGTCTTTGTACAGTTATGTTTCTATTAGAGGTCTTGTATTCATTTTATTTTTTTCCATTGTAATTCTATGTATCTCGCTGAATTCCCTGTATTTCATTGTATTCATTGTCTTCTTTTCATTGTATTTCAATGTATCCCGATGTATTCTATGTATTTCATTGTATTCACTATCTCGTTATATGCCATGAATGTATTCATATGTTTTTCTTAATTAATATAATTCATGTATTAAGATGTATTATATAATTTCTCTAAAGTTTGCTATGTGTTTGGGGTATTTTTCGGTTGAGAATCTTTTTTATAACTGAAAATACAAATTTTGTGTGTTATAATTGAGTTTGTTGAGTTATATTAGGAGTCTATTATGTTAATTGATTTACTTTCCGTTTAAAAACAGTGTAGTCCCCTGTTTCACGCCGTGAATACAGTCAAATACAGTCGAATACAATAATCTGTCCAGCTGTAATCTAATGTTTCACGCCATAAATACAGTCGAATACAACAACTGATTAGCTGGACTTCCCTGATTCACGCCTATTTTTGCTACTATATTCATGAATACAGTAGCTTAAATACATCTAATACATCTTATAACAACATAAAACATATCTACAATCCGTAATATAGCAAATGATATCTATAGATAGTTAATTACCACTAAAAGATAGTGATTTATAAAAATCTCTTTAAAGTTATGCTGATTTTTAGCCCAAATTGATTCATGAATAATTTCTTTTTTGTTTGAGAAAACAACGCATTAATTTGGGTGAAATTCAAAAATAGCCAGATTTACAAGTGGTAATTAAAAAATAACCACAGTTTTAAAAGTAATCGAAATTTGGCTACTTTTTATGTAAAGATAAATCTGAACGAAAACATTGTTCAAAATCCGAAAAATATTCTAGCATAATATACTAGAGTTCCAGTATAATACTGATACAACATAATATGCTGAAAGTTCATACACATGTGCTCCAATCTCCAGTATATTATACTGGAACTTTTTGTGTGTTGGAGTTCCGGCACAATATGCTAGAAGTTCATACACATGTGCACCAATCTCCAATATATTGTGCTGGAACTTTCTGTGTTGTAGGAAAATAGTAGCTATTTTTCAATGACTTTGCAAAAAATTTAGCCCCACCTATTGGGATCATACTGGGTTTATTATTGTTGTTAAGAGTTGAGCGAGTTGGGCTATGACCCAAATTTTAGCCCGATCTTGACCAGCCCACCTCAGCCCAAATATTTTTTGGGTGGATAATTGACCCGTCCATTTATTGGCTCAATACATTTTGACCCGTCCAAAATGGGTCAAACCTGCACCTGTGATCTTGGAGAAGTTGTCTGAAAGAAAACGAGCTAAAAAGCAGCAAGCAACTTGCATTAGAAATGGTACTGTCAATAACATCATTTTTCCAGGAAGTGGGGGGGGGGG